AATGTTAGGAAGTTTCATACTGTACCACAACAATAAGAGAATTTTACTGAATTTTACTCTGTACCTAGGACTTAATATATATTATTACATATGTATTATATATCATTCATGTCCTATAGAGTTGCTGTGTGTCAGAATCAACTTGATGGCACACAATGACAACATATTTCATTTAACTCTTACTTTATCCAAGGAGGTAAATGTTATCATGTCCATTTTAAAGATGAGAAAACTGAGGCTCAGGAAGCACAAGCCCATGCTCTTTTTACTACACCATTTCTTTCTTTTATTGCATTAACCACACCTTCTTTTTCTCTCTCCTTTTTAAGCTTTCTAGAAGGTTAATATTATTGGGCCACAATGAAAGGAAAGGCCACCTCAATGTTTTTCTAACTTTTAATACCTAATTAAAGATTTATATACTCATTCAACAAAGGATTTTGAAGGCCTGCTCTATGCCAAGAACTGTTCTACGTGGGGATTCCATGGCAAAAAAATACAAACACAGCATCTTGCTCATGGAGCTTACATTCTAACAGAGAAGACAGGCAACAAACAAACATTTTTTAATATACAAGGCAATTTTAGATTGCAAGAGTGCCATGAAAGATCTAAAAAATGGGTGATGTCACAGACAGAGACTAGAGGTGAAGAGCTACTTTAAATGGACCTGGATAGACCTTAGGTAGGTGGAGAGATGACATTTGAGCTGACACCTAAATAAAGAGAAGAAATGAGTCGTGCAAAAAGCCAGGGAGGTGCACTTACAGGCAAAGGAAACAGTAAGTGCAAAGACCCTGAGGTCCAAATAAGCCGATTGTTGAGGAACTAAAAGAAGAAAGCCAGTGTGGCTGAGGAAATGAGAAGGAAAATATCCAAATGTTCGTCCCCTGTGCTAATAGGATAGAGTGCCCTCCTCGCTTCCTAAATTGTAATATCAAGCTAGATCTCACAAGTGTGGCATGACTTTTAGTTCCAGGAGAAGAAAATGTGTAATGGCTTCTCCTCTTTCATCCTGTGTTCAGGAGCTGTCTTTGATGTTCTAAGGAAGCTGTGGTGTACTGGGCTCTGAGAAGGAAGACGCAGCTGGAGAGGTAGGGTGGTTTATGACTATTTTCATTAGTACGTCATTTGGCAAAACTTTATTTTTTATTATTGCATGGATAAACTAAGAGTTTCCATGTATTTCTTAATCCCCATCATGCCAGTGAGGAATTAAAAAAAGTCAATCAGCTTTCCAACGGTTTTGTAAGTGGACTGGAATTCACCCTGCTTCTACATCAAGTTGAGCCCCTCCCACCTGACATCACCTCTCTCTCACACACCAAAATGACCAGATGCATTATCTAGGGATATGTTATCTATTTATCTGTGGTCACACTCACGGCCAGGTCTTGTTTTCAGAGACTAACTATACTTCTAATCAAGTTGATTTTTTCCCCAGTTTCTTCCCAAGGTGTGGCTAAGCACAGAGAAGCCCAAGAGTCCTCAGGGAGCTGAGGAATATGTAATTCAGACCTTATCTCACAAAGTGGCTTCATTTAATGCACATCTAAGAGACAGCTTGCTTTCCTTTCAAGGAAAGTGTTGAGACACAGAGAGAGAGAAAAAGAGGGAGGGAGAGAGAGATCTTTTGCTCCTTCCTACCCCAGTGGCATAATGGTTATACACTAAGCTGATAACCAAAAGGTTGGCAGTTCAAACCCACCAGTGGCTCTCTGCTCCCATAAAAATTACAGCCTAGGAAAACCTATGGGGCAGTTCTGCTCTGTCACATGGGGTCTATGAGTCAAAAACGACTCAATGACACACACCAACAACCTTGAAGTAAATGTGGCAGGGTGAATAAGCACTCCCCAAAACCATACTTGAAGAACTATAGGTAGTTGGGCCTTACCCCAGAACTGTGTTTCTTCTGCTATGAGGCTAGATTTCCAGTTTTTATTTCACTGACAGGGGATTTTGAAAGTAACCACTTCTGTAAAGAGGCTGTGAGGAGGAAGTTTTGCAAGAAGAAATGGGGCAAAGATAAGGCAGATTTTGTCGGTGGGAAAATATTTAGTAAACAGCAGAGACGGTTAAAGGCAAAACTCAGGAAGTTTTGCTCATGAACACTTTCATTTCCCAACACACTATAATATTCATCAAATACTCATCAGAGCTTTCAGAGTTGTGTGTACATGTAGTCCCCAACTTACAACAGGGTTCCTTTCCAGTAACTATTCCATCGTTAAAGTGGTTCTGATAAGTCAAATGCCTCTTTTTCTTTTTTTAGTTTTCATTATTATTGCCTTTTATTATCAGTATCTTTATAAATCAGATCTTTATTTGTCTTTGGGGGTTGGAAACATTACATCTGAGAATGATAACATCAGCAAATTACATGCTGCAATGTAAGTATGTAGTACATATTACTAACAATAAGATGGACAAAAGAAAAAAAAGGATGGTCATAAGTGTGGTTCATCGTAGCTCGAATATGTTGTAAATTGGACACTACCTGTATATGCGTGTGCATATGTGTGTGTGCATGTGTCTACGTGCATGTGTGTGGATGGTGACACTTGTGTGAAGGTGAGCAGAGGTAAGAATAGCAGCAGCAAACAAAGATGGCTGGTTAAAGGCATATCATGCAAACACATATTGATCTCCAAGAATTGTGATTGTAAAGTTTGGAGAAAAAAATCCATGGACTATAGGGGTCGTTGTTGTTGTTGTTAGGTGCTGTCAAGTCTATTCTGACTCACAGTGACCCCATGTAACAGAGTAGAACTGCTCCACAAATCTGCCTGCACCAGGCTCAGGAGTTGGTATGGAGGGCAGGGATGGAGCATTTGAAGTCAACGCAGCGGGTCTATAGACAGAGGAGAATAGGTAAAACTGAGACACACGGGAATTGTGTGGAAGGAGGGAAGGGGGGAAGAGAAGATAAAGAAGATTAAATGAGAAAGATATGTCTATATCAAGAATGATAAAGTGCTGCTAACAATTTAATCTGAGAAACTAAGATTGAGAGTAATTCCAACCAAGCCAAATCATTATCAACCACATGAATTTCTTACTGATTTGTCTTCCCTTCTTTCTCCTGACAAAATCTTGACTCTAGGGGTTCAGAGACAGACATTAAGAGAATTTAAGAAAAGGACTCAGTTGACGGGAGGATGGGAAACAGCAGCAGGACCACTACAGGTAACTAATGACCAAATTGACCATAATTAGACTTCTTCTATAAAGAATATTTTTCTCATATTTAATATTAAATGACTCTAAATATGTGAAAATTTTTAAATATGTGAAAAAATGCATATAGGTGGAAAAAATGCAAGAGAACATTCTTCTTAAATGGTAAAAGTACATTCCAATATAACATATTATTAAAACTGGATTTTATAATGGCTTCAGAAACTTTTTTTTCTTTGCCGAAGTAGATGAGCTATATTTTTACTTGGGGATTATAATTATTTTTAATTTAATATATAGTTAGGTATTAATGTAATTACTACCCTATAAGTACAAAGAATAATAAAGAGAAAGTTCTACCTATTATCAGACATAATAAAGCTTTTATAATTGCATAATCACTTATCGAAAGAAAAAGACTAATTATGAATTTGGGGTGATACTTTGAAATTAAAAACATGGTTTTTTTTTTTGTTTTTTTTTTTTACCAAAGAGTCTAAAAATAATGTGTAAATACAGATCAGGGATAGAAATACGTGTAATTACAATTACAAATATTAAAAGTAATAAGTCCTCTATAGGAAATAAGTATTGAGCCCATTTAGAAAAAGAAAGTATAAATACCACATGAGGTTGATACTTGTGCTACTAGAAATAATCATAATTTATTGGAATGCCCTTATTTCTAGTACATCTTTCACTTACAAAGCGCTTTAATATCATGCAACAGCACTCGGGTTCATAATTCTGCCAGATGGACAAGGGATGGTTCATTTTCTACACTGTGTGCTTTATTCGAAAATAGAAACACAGGGATGGAAGCATTTTGCACAAGGACAAAAGCCTGCCAGAAGTTCAGCTGGCCTCGACTTTTCTGTATTAGAGAACAGAATTTCTCTCAAGGGTCACAATTACCGTCTTACTGAAACAAACCCTTATGAAAATGCCTTTCCACGTTTTGTACTTTTGTGGCCGTGTGTGCCAAAAGGTAAGTGAGCATCAACTGAATGTTGGGAGCCAGACTGGCCCGGCAGAGAACAGTGAGATATACTTTCAAAACATTCGCATCTCTCCTACTGAGGGAAAGCATCTAATGTTACCTTGAAAGTCCCTTAGCCAACTAGACTTAACAGAATCCAAGAAATGCCAGCAGAGATCAGTTCCAGTTAATCCCTAATTTGTTGCAATGAGAAAAAGGAAGGCATCTTCTCTTCTGTAAGGCAGAATATCATGGTTTCATTAACTGTTACTGCAACAGCTCTCACATCGCCACAAACACACACAATCTCAAATGAACACTTACTGCAAACACACCTGGGGAAACAGATACAGGGATAGGTGATGAGATTAAATGTGCCATTTTGCTCCCAATCTTCAGCTAGTCAGAAACTTCTGGCAAGTTTACTGGACTTAAGAGGAAATGGTCCAGCTTCCAAATAAAGTTGGCGTTCACCTTATCTGAATGGTGTTGGGGCACAGGACTGCTCCAGCTATGTCGTCAGTCAAAAATCAGTGTTATTTTCTGACACTTTCAGCACATTTCCCGAACCATGGGGCACGCTCACTATATAATAATTTCCCGGAATTCTCCATTTAAAATGCATGTAAGACAGGTGGCTTCACCCGCCACTTCTCTGACGCTTTCAGAGAAATTAATTAAGTTGGCTGGGGGAAAGAGGTATGAGACGGTCCTTCTGGTGAGCGTGTTTAATCAGACCATGCTGCCTCTGAGGCAAGAGAGGCAGCCTCTTCAATATTTAAGGGGTCTCACCTCCCTTGCCCAGCCCCACCAGCGTGCACAGGGCTGCAGATAAACTCACCTGCCATTCTTGGTCACGATCATTTCATTAGTGACTTCCTTGAACCTCTGCCAGAGAGGTGCATCCTCCAGGATGATCTGAAGTTGCTTCTCTGTAGGGTCACCTTTTTCCCTCCCTGCCTGGAGCTCACTTTCCACCAAGTTGAGGAGGCGAGACACAGTGCTGTCGCTGGCCTTCTGAGAGTCCAGCTCACTCATGGCGGTTGGTCCCTCGCAAACTTACCTAAGAAGCGTTACCCACCTTGCCTGCTTCCACCTCCTTCCTCTCCTCACTTGCCTGCTGTTCAACTCCAGCTGGACAGCACCTGGGGAGCTGGAGAGAAGGTGCCCCTGGCTTTGCCTAAGCTCCTAGTGTGACACCCCTTCAAGTCTCCAAATTATACCACCAACCTGTTAAGCTTTAGCTGGGGAGAGGGTGGAAGGAGGGGAGAGGTAGGGAAGAAAAAGCCCTCTCTTAATTACTCATTGGATCAGGCAGAAGACAGCCAGCTTTTCCATTGGCTGTCGTACCTAGAGTAGACGTTTAAGAAGAGCACTCCATCCAAATTATCAGGCTTTTATCTTGTTGTACCTGAAGAGGTCTAATCGGTGTATTGAGGGACCATTTTCCCATTAATTAAAATTGTTCCAGGCCCAGACTGTAATAATCAGGCAAATCATGTTTGTGGATAAATCACAGCATGTGGCACCTATAAAGGAGGTCCTGGAGAGAATCAACAAACTTCTTAATACCAACCCAGGCTGGCCTGATACAGTTGGGAAAATAAACCTTTCACTGTTCTCTAGCACCTTAGATTGAGGATGAGGCCCTGGAGAGAACAACACATACATGGAAGGTCAAAGGCACTGTGCCAAGAACATGACAACATATCAGGGACTGCAGGCAGATGTTCTGTGTGGCAGCAGCTCAAGGGCCAGAGTTCGGGAGAGAAGAAAAGAGCTAAAGACCTCTTTCTCCCAGTGTACCCCCATCTCTATCCTGAGGGATTCCATCACATGCTCACACCCTACTAATTTTAAGGGCGCTGATCACCTCCTACAAACAGCAGAGCTCTGAACTTGTCCTTCTTCCTTAGAGTCTAAGGCTCCCAATTTATTTTATTTCCAGCCCTTGCAAAAAAAAAAAAACCACTGCCATCAAGTCAATTGCAACTCATAGCGATCCTATAGGACAGAGTGGAACCGTCCCATAAGGTTTCCAAGGAATGGATGGTGGATTCAAACTGCCAACCTTTTGGTTAGCAGGTGAACTCTTAACCACTGCACCACCAGGGCTCCCAGCCAACCCTTGCCAGAGGGAGAAAAATTCAGCTAGCATCAGATTAAACTCGCTAAGAATGCACTCTGCTCCAATGAGTAATAATAATGCTTTTTACATCATTATGCAGAGCAATTTTGATTCTCCATCCAGAAAGTCAACCTGGCTTTCCCTCTAGACAGCCCAAGGTCTGTTCTGGAATTCCAGGGTAAATCCTCACATTCCCTGGGTAGATAACTACTAGCTGAAAACTTTTCTTCTACCTATAACACACAGTACTAATGTAAGGAAAGGCAGTAGCAGAGGTAACTCTACTTACTGCAGATCCTGGGGGTTGTGAGTTGGTCCTTGATTACAACAGAAAGTAAGAAAATCAGGACCAAGGGAAAATGAAAGCAAAAAAGTAAGATGAAGTCAGGGTAAGGATAATACATAAAATGCCTCCAATACATTCATCCAGCACCTGTTGTTGTTGGGTGCCGTCAAATCGATTCCAACTCATAGCAACTTCATGTGACTGAGTAGAAATGCCCCGTAGGGTATTCTTGGCTATAATCTATACAGAAGCAGATGGTCAGGTCTTTCTTTCACAGAGCCACTGGGTGGGTTCGAACCACCAACCTTTCAGTTAGCAGCCAAGAGCTTAACCATTTTGCCACCAGGACTCCCTTATCCAGTGCCAAATATTTATGAAGCATCATATACAATGATGAACAAAACAAAAACAGCCCTGATCTTATGAAATGAACAATCTGATAGAGAAGATAAATTATATAAAGTAATCAACATCTTAGAAATTATCAATAATGATAAGTGCTATAAAGACTATGTAAAAAGGTGAGGCAGTAAAGAAAAATTTGTGTGAGGTGGGGTGAGGAGGATCCTAATTAAATGAGGTAGTGTGGAAAGGCTTCTCGGAGGAGCAGACATTTTGGCTGAGACCAAAAGATGACAAGGATCAGGGAAGAGTCTAGAGAGAAGAGTCTCAGGCAGAAGCGCCACATGTGAAGTGTGGTGACAATGCTACACTGCCGGCTTTGAAGACGCAGAAAGGAACTACAAGCCAAGGAACACAGGCAGCCTCTAGAAGCTGGAAAAGGCAAGAAAACAGATTCTCCCCTAAAGACTCCAAAAGGAATGCAGGCCTGCAGACCCCTTGATTTAGCTCAGCAAAACTGATTTCAGACTTCTGACCTCCAGAACTGTAAGATAATAAATTCATTTTGTTTTAAGCCATTAAGTTTGTGGTAACTTTTTACAACAGCGATAGGAAATGAATACAAAGACCATGAGACATCTAAGAAGAGATTTCAAGAAGACATAGCTTAGAACTGTGTGAGAATTGTGGCTCTGAACTTCCTAGCAGCCAATGCAAAGAGGGAGAATACAATCTGTCATATATTTTACTGTGCTCATAAAATAAGCCATTTGCTCAGTGGAGGCTTTCCCTCTCCTAATGCTTAAACCTGAGAGAAATTTCTTTCATGAATATTTATAGATGTTATGGATTGAACTGTGTTGGAATCCTAGCCCCTATACCCATGAATGTTGTTGTTGTGTGCCGTCAATTCCAACTCTAAGGTAATGTAATTGCCATACATCTAATGTCATGTAATCACATTCCAATGAAGCCTAATGTAATGCAATCATCTTCCATAATTCAAGCTAATGTAATATAATCAATCAGTTGAGATCATACCAGTGTTGGGTGGATCCTAAATCTAATCACGTCTTCCTTATAAGAAAACCAGAATAAACACAGAGGCGCACACCCACAGAGGCCATGTGAGAAAATCTACAAGCCAAGGAACGAAAAAGTGCCCGGGACTACCTACTGGGAAGGAACTGACATGGCCAAGACCCTGATTTGGACTTCTAGCCTCCAGAACTGTGATTAAACTAACTTCTGTTCTTCAAAGCCACCCACTTGTGGATTTCTGTTATAGCAACACTAGGTATCTAAGATAATAGAGAAAACAGTGTGTGACAAAGTGAACAATATTCCCCCAGACAGTTCATAACGACCAACAAGATGAGGATCCCTGCCTTCAAAGAGTTTTACCATCTAGGAGGTGGGAAAAAAAGGCATGTGCCATCCAGGGAATTCACCAATACAGAGATATGCAAAATGTTTTGGAAACACCAATAAGGGAGAAATGAAGTAAATAAGCCTATTTGCTTTTTATCATTCTTATTCAAAACAACGTGTTCCTGATAACCAGGTTAGGGCATGAATCTCTTTAGCCAATGGGCCCTATCAAGAATGACTCTTACAGAACAGCACATGCAATAAAGTTACAGACTGCATGGTAGTAACACTGAGACAGAGCCTTCCAGCAGTCTCCTCTCTTCATTTTGGTTCTGCTCTGCCTAAGCAATGACTCTCATCTCCAGCCACTGTCCACACCTGAATTCTGCACTATATTAGGTTTAATAGATTCAACCACGTGAAATTGCTGATAGCTAACCTCTTTTTACCTACAAAAACAAGCAATTTCATATGGTACCTCCTAATAGGTAGATCTGAAACTAATAGCCATAATATGCTAATTTTATATGGTTAACTAGTTATATGTATAACTAATACATCTATATTACAAAATCTTTTTATTTGGATCATTGTTTTCTAATTACTAAGTATCTTACTGTAGAAAATTTTGGAAAACATAGGCAATAAAAATAAAAGCTATCCATTATCTCAACACCCAGAGATGACCTCTGCTAACAAGTTTAGTGTAGATATTTTTGTTCTTTGCAGATATATGTGTACTTTTTCCTTTTAAAAAAGGGATTGTAAAATACTTCTAGTTAAGCATAGCAGAGTAAACATATTCTTTTATATCTGTTCCCCACCAAATCTCTCTAAAACAGCAGGAAGGTAATTTACAATTGAAACCCAAAAAGCCAAGAGTACAGAAGAGGAAACAGCAGCAGATGAGAGATGTCAACAAAATTTTGGGAACTGACAAAATAAATGAGTGTGTGGTAACTGATGAAGCAGATTCGAGAAAGTTGAAACCTAAGCTACTAAGGAAAAAGCCAGTAAGAAGCAAGCTGATTTGTGCCACCAAACCTGTTGCCATCAAGTTGATTCCAACTCATAGCGACCCTATAGGAGAGAGGAGAACTGCCCTCATACAGTTTCCAAGGTGTGGCTGGTGGATTCAAACTGCCGACCTTTTGGTTAGCAGTCAAACTCTTAACCACTATGTCACCATGGCCACAGAACTCTGAAATACCTCAGGTATCTCTAAAAGGACGGGGCAGTTCTGGCTAGGACCAAATAGGACGATATCTTGAAATTTTTGTATATAAATAGTTAACCTTCAAGATCCCTACCCCTCAGCCAGGCATCTGTCCCTCCCTTATTATAGCAGAAAACAAAAGATTTATTTTCTGAGGAGACTGGATTTGAAAGGATTTGTACTCAGAGACACCAGGTACTGATGAGGGCAGGGGTGGGGTCCATATTGAAAACAGGGGGATTAAGACATACTCCTTAAGTATGGACCACAACTACCACAGCCTCCACTAGACTGAGTCCAGTACAACTAGACGGTGCCCAGCTACCACCAATGACTGCTCTGACAGGGATCACAATACAGGGTCCCGGACGGAGCTGAAGAAAAATGTAGAACAAAATTCTAATTCACAAATAAGACCACACTTACTGGCCTGACAGGACTGGAGAAACCCCGAGAGTATGGTCCCTGGACACCCTTTTAGCTCAGTAATGAAGTCACTCCTGAGGTTTACCCTTCAGCCATGATTAGGTAGGCCCATAAAACAAAACGAGACTGAAGGGGCACACAAGCCCAGGGGCAAGAAGTAGAAGGCAAGAGGGGACAGGAAAGCTGGTGATAGGGAACCCAAGGTCGAGAAGGGAGTGCTGTCGTGTCATGGGGTTAATAACCAATGTCACAAAACAATATGCATACTAATTGTTTAATGAGAAGCTAATTTGTTCTGTAAACCGTCATCTAAAGTACAATAAATAAATTTTTAAGCCACATTCCTTACATAAGAGACTTGACAATTTCTCAATGAAATGGCTCATCCCCAAATTACCACTCACCCCAATCAAGTGGTGAAAGCCAACATTTGTAAAGCTCTGTCCACACACATAGGCATTCCATCACTTTTATACACCTCACCCTTTAGTATGATCAGACAGTAATGGATCATCAGACATCACTCATGGAAGTCAGAGACCAAAACAAACAAACAAATTAAAAAAGGAACTCTGAGAAACAGAAACCTTGCAGGGAACAGAAGATAACAAAAGAATATAAACAAAATCATAATTATTATCCACTTAAAGACAGGATAAAATATCAGCTTCATAAAATAAGACATGGAACTATAAGAAAGAAAGAAAAGGAGAAATAATGAAGGAAGGAAGGAAAGAAGAAAGGAAGGAAGGAAAAAAGGACTAGAGGACAAAATAGCATACTTGGAAATTTAAAACATCAAAACATAAATTTAAAATTCAACATAAGTTTAGAAAATAGAATTAAATAAATCTCTAAGAAATTAAAACAAAATAACAGTTCCAAAAGAAAGAACAGAGAAAATAAAAGGGTGGAAAGTCTCCAAGAAATAATACAAGAAAAGTTCCCAGAATTGAAGCATATATCTCTCCAAATTGAAAGATCCACTAAGAACCCAGCACAATTAATGAAAAAAGATCTACACCAAGACATGCACATCTTCATGAAATTTTAACCACTGGTGATAAGAGAAAATCATAAAAATCTTCTAGAGAAAAAGTAGGTCATATACAAAAAATCATAAATAATAATACCACCAGCCTTCTCAATAACAACCCTGAAAGCTATAAGAAAATTGAGTAATGCCTTCACAATTCTGATGGAAAATGATTAATGTAGAATTGTATACCTATCCAAGCTATCAAGTGTGAGACTAGAATAAAGACATTTTCAGACCTACAAGGTTGTAAAAATTTTATCTCCCATGTACTCTTTCTCAGAACTTTCTAGAGAATGTGCGTTAGCAAAATAAGGGAGTAAACCAAGAAAAGACAGCAACACGTGAAGTATATGAAACAGGGGACCCAACACAGGAGAAAAAGTCCCAGGATGAAACTGTAACCATTGTACAGACAAATGTCAGTGGAAGGCTAGGATTCACGAAGACAGAAGAAATGGAGGATGTCTTAGTTATCCAGTGCTGTTAGAAATACTATAAGCAGGTGGTTTTAACACAAATATATTTTCTCACAGTTAGGAGGCTAGAAAACCACCACCCACATTGAAGCTGGAGCTGGAATGCTAACAGAGGGGTTTCACTTTTGAAAATGGAATGATAGATTACCTGATGTGTTTGACTTTATCAAGAGGCATTTATAGGTTTAGTGGACAGTTTGCAGTTGAATTAGTAATAGGTACATGTACTAGTTTACGGCTGCTGTCTAACAAATTACCACACATTTAGCAGTTTAAAACAACATAGTTAGTCTCTCACAGTTTCAATGAGCCAGAAGTCCAGGCACAGCTTAGCTGGGCTCCTTGCTCTGAGTCTCACATGGCTGAAATCAAGGTGTTGCCAGGGCTGCCATCTTGTCCGGGGCTCAGCGTTCTCCTCCAAGCTCTGTCAGATTGTTGACAGAATTCCACTGTTGTAGGACTGAGATGCTCAGCTCCTAGAGGCCACACTACTTTATCAGCTGTTCAGAACTTGCTTTCTTCCTTGAGGCTGCCAGGAGAGCATCTGCTGCTGCTCCTTGTCTCTTATAAGGGCTCACCTGATTAGGCCAGACTTACCCAGGATAATCTCCCTTATATTCACTCAAAGTTCACTGATTAGGGACACTAATTACATCCACAAAATCGCTTTTGCCATGTAATCTAACAAAATCATGGGAACAATATCCCATCGTTTCCAGAGGTCCTGCCAGGACAGGGGAAGGGAACTACACAGAGTGTGTGCACTTCAAGGAGGTAATCTTGGGCACCATCTTAGAGTTCTGATTGCCATAGTACATTACAAACAAACAATCAAGAACATGAATGAAACCTGGAGAGTATGGCCCCCAGACACTGTTATAGCTCAGTACTGAAGTCACTCCTGACGCTCACCCTTCAGCCAAAGATTAGACAGGCCCATAAAACAAAACTTGACTAAATGGGCACATCAGCCCAGGGGCAAGGATGAGAAGGCAGAAAGGGACAGGAAAGCTTGTAATGGGGAACCCAAGTTCAAGAAAGGGAGAGTACTGACATGTCGTGGGGTTGGCAACCAATGTCACAAAACAATATATGCATTGTTTAATGAGAACTAATTTGCTCTATAAACCTTCATCTGAAGTATAATTTTAAAAAATTTTTGTTAAAGAAAATCAATGAAAAGAACACTGAAGCAACTATGAACTACAAGAGAAAAAAACAAGTTGTCCAAAAAACATAGTCATAGTATACTACAGCCCAGCTGAGAAAAGTTATAAAAACGAATTGTAAAAATTGTAAGTTGAATATTGATTTTTTAAAAAATATAACTATACTAGAATGATGAGAGGAGGAGAAACTTGTATTGTGGAGGAAAGATGCGTGCTGAAGTCTCATCTTCCATAGCAGGAAGATAGTGAATAAGTCTAAAATTTAAAAATCCAGAAACAGCAGCATTTAGAAATCTGCAGCTAAATGGCAGAAGTGACTGCAAAAAGAGGAAAGTGGCTGCCTCTGGAGAGGGCAGCAGATAAAGGTGGGTTCTTTTTCTTGTAATAAATTTTTAACCATACAAGTAAGTGCTAGTTAGATTGTTACTTTGCAAGCTTTTTTAATTTAATGATACACAAAGAATATTTTCCCAGGTTATCAAATAATTTTCTACATTGTTATTTTGATTCCAAGATATTCCATCTTAGAAGTGTGCCTGTTTTATCTAACCAATGGTCTGTTGTTATACACTTGCTGCTTCTCCATTTTTTATAATTTTAAACAATTAGATGAAAATTCTGGACAATAAACACTTGGGAACAGCCATGATGTTTTCTTACACTGTATTTTTGGAAGTAGTTCTAATTGAAAAGAATAAAATTGTGCCAAGCACTTTACATGCATCATCTTATTTAACCCATATAACAATCCTATCAGGTAAGTGCTATAATTATATATATTTTAGAGGTGACAAAATTAAAGCTCAGAGTGGTGAAGTAATTTGCACTGGTCATATAGCTAATGCACAGTAAGGCCAGTATTTGAGCCCAGGGAGTAGAATCCCAGAGCTCACACTCTTAACCACTATGTTATACTGAACGCTTACTATGTACCAGGTGCTGGATGACATGTTTTATAGACATGATCTCATATAACATGCAGCCTTGTAAAGTGTGTTGTTTTGTTTTTAAATGAGGAGAACACTGAGGCTGTAGGGACTACGTATTTTCCCATGTCATGTGCCAGGTAAACGATAAAGCCATTTCAACCTGGGTCCTTCTCAGTCCAAAGGCTGGGTACCAATTTGTAGTCCAAACAGACAGGCTTTATTTTAACCCATTTATCTCCAGGAATTTATTCATTCAACATTTTAATGAGAAAATTAGGATAATCACATTATCTCCAAATTACAGATTAAAAAAACTAGGTAAGAGAGGAAATGAGTGATTGTTCTATAAGTAATGAACCAGGAGAAGAGTTAGAAAAATAATGATCCTCCCATCCCCAGTTAGTCTCACCCTGGACACAAATCATCCCAGTGTACAAATCATTTCACTTTTAGGGAAGCAGGAAGAAAACTTTCTCATGAGTGCCCCTCAATTCCCTTGTCGGGCTGGGATGGTTAACAGGGAGCTAGCCTTCCCTTATCCCATTGTACATCCTTCAACCACAGAAATTCTTCTCTGTGTGTTATATATATATATTGCGCTGCCATGGAAGTTTCTGTTAGGGAAAAAAAAAGTGGGGAGGGAAGTAGTCTTATGTTTTAAAATGCATACATGTAGAGGGTGGAGCCAAGACGGTAGAGTAGTCAGATGCTTTCTATGGTCCCTCTTACAACAAATACCTGAAAAGAACAAGTGAATCAATTATATATGACAATCAGGAGCCCTGAACATCAACGGCAAAGTTGAGGGATCAGACTGAGTGGCAGGGAGAGGGAGAGATGGTTCGGAAGTAGCAAGGAGTTGCCAGACCTGACCCAGCAGGAGCCAGAGCCCTTCAGGCTGGATAAGCTTGTGTGCGTGATGAGGCAAGTAGTGCTCAGGAGGCATTTTCACATCAGGTGAGACCCAGCGGCACTACTTGGCCATCCAGAACCAGTGAGAAGCAGCCTTCAATCAGCAAAAGATAAGTACTTGCATCTGACCTACCCCCAGATCAAAAACACCTCCCTAGGGAAAAACCTCTCTCCCATTTACCTCCCCCCTCCCCGCTCTGCACTGGGTCTGTGGTGGCTTCAGCGATTGCCGAGTCCCCTGGGGCGGAAGTAGGACCCGTCACGTACCCTGAGCCATTCTCCCAGCCTTGGAGAGGGAAAAAATTAACAAACGGGAAACAATGATCTGCCGGCTCCCCTAAGCCAGGAACTCA